GGAAGGTACTCGGGGTATGGAATGGGGGGCATATAAGGTTTGGCTTTCAAGGGAGAATGTCCACTTTTGGCTCCTATCATTATCGACTTTCTTGGGATTCCTTACCATTCTGTATGGTGACTACCATAACTTGCTCTCGTGGATTGACTTCGGTATTGCTTGGAAGTTTACTTTGACTCTTTCCAGTAACTAAGCTAGCCAAATTGCTTATTTGAGTCTCTATATTCCTCAAAGAATTACCCATTTGAGATTTTATATTCTCCATAAAAGCTTGAGTTGAAGTAGTTGTTTGTTTTCGTTGGTCAATCTCTTGATTAATGCTCTTCATGCTATTCACTTGGTAAGTGGTCATTTGAGCTAAAGCTTCCTCTAACTTCATTGTATGATCTTCAATTGTGTTTCTTTGTTGTTGAAAGCCTGGCTGTGCTTGTGGCCCCTGAGTAGAGGAATTCTTCTAAGAGAAATTTAGATGATTTCTCCATCCAGGGTTGTATGTGTCAGAATATGGGTCATTCCTTAAATTAACTCGATCATTACTAGCTCCTATATAAGTAGCCTCTTCCACATAATCACCGTCACAACCTGTATGAAGAGAATTATTAGTAGAAGAAAGGAAATTAACAAAATAAAAATTTTTAATAATAAATTTAAACTCTTTGTTAAATCCCGTAGTTCATGTGAGACATCTAATGTAAAAACTTCATTAACTATCGCCCTCCTTCCTCGAAATGCCTTCTACCTTGAATTTGCTGCTAGCATTTTATAAATCTCCTCCCTTTCTTCAGCTGTCATACTACTTGGATCACCTCGAGCTGCATTATTAACTTTTGATTGGCATTCAACATTAAGCCCATCATAAAAAAATCCATCAAGAGTATGTGTGGAAATTAGTGATAGGGACATTGGTTTATGAGGAGATTATAACGTTCCCATGCCTCATAGAACAATTCACTATTTTGCTTTGTGAAGAAGTGAATTTTATCCCTTAATTCTGAAGTCTTCTGAGGAGAATAATATTTCAAATTAAATTGCTCATACATCTCTGTCTAAGAGCTTATGGAAGCTTCTGGTAATCGTAAAAGCCATTGACGAGCTTCTCCTTTTAAACAATACAGAAAGCAATGCAGCTTTAAATCATCATTCCGATAGATTATTTAACGGTAGTGTATCAATTGCCGCATAAAATTCTCATATAAAATTCAAGGCATCTTCAGTTCGGTGCTTGTTGAAATTAGGTAGTGCATTTAAGTAAATATTCTTAAATTCATAATTACGCGCTCTCGTACTTAATTGGATGCATGACAGATTAGATGTGATGAATAGGCGTTGAATATCTCTAAATGTAATGGATGACTCTGGAATAGTTTCGTCACCCATCTTTCTTCTTCTTTAAGATCTATTTTCCTGTAAAACCATTCAATTTCTAAATTAATAAGAATCAAATTTAAATCACCAAAACTTCTTAGTTGCATAAAAAAATAAATAAAATTAAAATTTAAAATTAAAATGAACTAAAAATAAAATAGTTAGTAAATTTGTGACTTCCCCGACAACGGCGCCAAAACTTGATCGCTCTTGTAAGTGTATGAGATCACAGTAATAAATTACCCGGAGTATTCTAGGTGTCAAACCCACAGGAAAGTTACACTTTTACTAATTTAAATAATTAATAGTTTAAGAAAAATAGATAAAATGGATAAATTTGATAAAAATATAAGGAATAAAAATAAATTAAGAAAATAATGATGATAAAAATGCAATCACTTGAAGCGTTGGGGTTTAGAATTCACCCTATAGGTTGCTAGTTTCTACCCCTTGAGTTGACTCGAATCAATTATAGTGATAACTATTCCTAAAGTGTCATAATATTCTCTCAAATTATTAGTCCCTTTTTAATTAGTGTTGAATTCATTCCCACGATACCCAAGCAACTAATTAAACTGTGAAGCTATAGCTTAAGTCACCATAAATTTTTAGAACTATTCATAACCTAGTTATTTATGTTTATTTCTCTAGATTTAGGTTCTCTCTTCACTTCTTTGTCCATTAAGATTACCCATAGATTTGATTAAATGGTGGCCAGTCATTAAATCAATATAAAGAACAAGAGAAATAAATATAATTGGAAAAAAGCAAAAATATTCATAAATATAAATGCAAAGAGTCAAAACAAAGAAAATAGAAAACTAGCTCCCCAATTAGGCTACATCCTTATCCCAACTGGGTAATTTAGAAACACATAATAAAATCAAATAAAACCATTCTAAAATCTCCAATCATGAAAAATGATCACAGAGAATATTAAGGAGTAGAAAAGAAATAATTATAATTTGTGAAACTCCTCAATGATCTCGCTTTCAGCCTTCAAAATGCTTCTACAAGCTCTAAATATCTCAGAAAGAATTCTTGAGGTGCTCAGATAAGTGATTGGACGCCTTTCCTCTTGATGGAGGGAGTATTTATAGTTAAAGTAGAGGCTCCTTCTTTTGTTCTTTGTCGATGTGAGACTCTAATATATATATATATATATATATTTCTCTTTTCCTTCTATTTGGTTTATTCTTTTTCTCTACAAAATATAAAAATAAAAGATATGAGTGGATTTTGTATTAAAATTCTTTTTTATCTTATAATTAAGTGATGAGGAAAAAATATATAAATATCAATTAAATAGATATAAAATCTTAATAAATATAATCAAATTCAAACTAAAATTTATACCTATTTAATTATAAAATATGCACTTATCACTCGCCAATTCATGTGTGAACATTCAATATGAACAAATAAATTATCATGATTTCACAACAAATAATCAATTCCAAAATATTCACTGTCAACTTTGAGTTTAGCAATCAAGTCAGATTATATTAATAACCAAATCACATCTATAATTCCGATATTTAACACCATTACAATGCATTTTTTGGCAAAAAATCCATCTCACATTGTCTTAAGAGAGAAAGGGATGCATATTGACAAGCCCACAAGCTTAGATATTTATAAGCAAAAGACTATACCTTGTCGTGCTCGTTGGGGATCCAGATATTTAGTGAGTCATACGAAGCCCCAGCATCACCACCAGTAATGCAAAACACTAGATCAAAATGAGTGAAGAGAAAGGGGCGAAGGACCCTCAATTGAAGTCAAAGCGTGTGTTCATTTTCAATAAAATGATAATAGACGCTGTGGTATATATATCCCAACAGAGAGGTATATGCCGAGCTAAACCTGTACTCTTTCTTGAAAAGGCTACTTATAAAATCAATGGCTGGAATTTAAACACGCATGGCAACGGGTGGAGAAAGATGACTTAGGAATGGAGAAAGAAGTGAGAATGGGTATGAGGAATAGAGGCAGGGAGAAGAGCGAAGGTTTGTACGGTAAAGGATGACTGGATGACCACAATCCGCAGTGGCGGCGCCAAGATCTCCACAAGCAAGGAATGGAGGAAGAGAGTGGTGACTGATAAGAGTTGAATCAATTTAGACCAAGGGCAATTCCATTATTTCATAACAAAATTAACTGCATATGGAGTCTTGGGTCTACAGAATCAATTCAGATCCTATTGAGCCTTCGTTGCGATTCTCTTAGTTCTGGGACCTTAGGTGCGATTCTCCCTAAACTTATCACGGCCAATTACTTACGGTTTGGTCCCTTTAATCTAATTTTTAGTATGCTGGTCCTTTGGTAAAAATGTTGACAGTCGTTGGTTCTAATGCAGAACATAATGAGATTGATGAAAAACCAGAACCAAAGAAATAACGTCATGAATATAATTAGTATTTGTAATTTTAAGTAAATAAATAAATAAATATAATTCAAAATTATACATTTTATTATTTTAAAAGAAATCAAAAAATGTTCCTCCCAATTCCCAATGCCACACGTCAATCAATTTTCAACCCTTTGCTTTGGGCCTACGAGTTTGATCAAACTACGTAAATGCTTACTTTGCTTGGGCTGGGTCACCGGCCACGTTTGCCTTATTTGGGCCGTCCAGGTAGGCTTTTCAGTTGATGTGATCGTAAAATTTGTGATTGTTTGATGAATTTTGACTGTTGAGCTCCATCTTAGTAAATTAAAAAAAAAAATTACAGGGAACATTCAATTATATTTAATGGCGTTAAACTCATTCTTTCGGTTTCATTGAAAATAATTGTTTATATCATCCTTCAATAAATCTCCAATATGCCAAGAAGTTAAATACTAAATTAAAGAAGTCTTGCCTCTTTACCCTGATTTTTTTGGGCCTGGATTTCTCCCCTGAATTGAATTTCACTAATTTGTAAGGAGTTTCGTGAAAATTATACACTGTTAGAAACCGAGGCCACTTGGCCGAAATGATCCAGCATCTGCATTTCTTGACATGTCCACTCGTTGGCTTGAACTTAAAACAATTCTTGCAACCTCCATATTTTTCAGTTCAGAAGACAAAAACGAGTCTTGCAACATCCGCAATGAGGGTAAATGGTCCTAGTGTTATGTTCGCATGTCTGCAACAAAGTAAATTCTGCAGCCATATCTTCACAACTATGCCTTCTGACTGGATTCCAATAAAACCAACTGATAAGTTATCCATCATGATTCGAATCTGAAGCCAATTATATTTCCTAAATATGCCAGACTCAGATTTGTACAAACTTATCAGAGAAAGTGATAATTGGGCATAGATTACCTGAATAATTAAATCAACATGATGAAACAAACTAAGTTTGACGCGACATGGAGACCAACATTTTGTTCCTGCAAACTTCCTATAAGAGAAGGAATGTATCGGAATTCAGAAATTATCATGAAATTAGTTTGCGAATCTTCATTTTCTTCCTTGAGATAATTTCTATATAGTTTGCTATTTGCTCTCTCTAGCTTCATTTGAGATGGGGGATCATCTGTAGCACTTCATGGCAATAGATCAGTGGATGCATGGTCAAACATCATCCAGACCAAAGGATAAAAAAGGTTTGGCTGGTGATCGAAAGAGAAACATCAGAAAGGAATTTCACATTTTGAATCTTGATAATATTTATGCTGTAAATTCATGGTAAGTCTTGTTACACCTTAGCAGAAATCATCGCATCTATAATCTGCAAGCTTTTACACCTTAGAGAAAAAAACAAGAAAATTGTGCATGACATGAAAATGGTAGAACTGAGATGAGCAGATAAACTGAACAAACTACATGCCAAACAACTTCCTGCGCCTACTAGACTTGATTAGCAGGCCAGCTGCTTCACCAATCACAATCTCATCAACTAGGTCCTTGAATATCAATCTTTCAACATCCAACACAACCCCAGATATTTCATCATGGAAATCTAACCAGATCTCTGAGCCATGCATCACATCTTCCCAGAGTATACTTCTGAGACCATGTTCTTCATCTTCTAGAGTGCTTTCAGGCTTCCTGAATTGCATTTTTTCTATCTCAAAGCAGAGCTCTTTAAGAAGCTTTTGTGCACTGAGGGTTTTCTTGGTAAGCCTGCTAGGCTTCACCCAAGGTTCGGGAGAAGAGCTGACTAAAGCTAACTTCAAACCAAGAATCTCATTAACAGCATCAAATATGAGTTTCCTGTGAAATTTCTCTGCATTTAGCTCCAAGCAAACAACTTTTCCTGTTCCACATTCTTCTTTTGGAACAAAACTACTTGCCTTGGTTTGCTCTAACACGGAAAATAACTCAGGGTTAATGGGATGACCTGAAGGGTGAAGTTGAAATGTCAGCAGCTCAGAGCTCAGGTCTCTCAGCAGGAGGCCTGAAGCTAACAGTATTTCAGAGATGTATCTTTGGTCAGGATTTGTATTTTCACAGAGGGAAGCAATGTAGTCAATTCTAGATTCATCATGACTGGAATTCACCCGTCTAAGTTTCTGAACAAGGTGATCTATGCTCTGCAGTTTCTTGCGATCGATCTCTCCAGATCCTGCACTGTAAACTAATTTATCCACAGGAGTCCACCAATCTTCATTCTCATTTCCTTTATACTCTTGGGCACCATCAGCTGTAGCATTTAATATTACAACGAAACAGGGTAGACAGAACAAATCATCATAACATTTCTAGACTATCATAGGTAACGATTAAATTAAAATTTCTTTCTTTTGACATTTCTTTAGATAATTTCTCTGTTTTTTGTTTTTTTTTTTTTAAGTGCAGGCTAAGCAGGAAAAAATGGACAAAGGCTAAAGCACATTACTGTCATGCCCATCACAACTTGAGTTATTTCCACAAGCGAACATGAAAAGAATGTTCCCAGTGGTCAACATTATAGCCATCAACAAATTCTTGACATATATGCACTTTGCTAGTGGCTTAAAACTGGTTTAAAAAGAGTAGCCACACAAAACGTCTTAAGTATACTACATCCTACATTTGTATTCGCACATATATGCACTTTGTATGTGACTTAAATCTGGCTAAAAAACAGAAGCCAGACAGCACATTTTCAAGTAATACCATATTTACATGTACCAAAACTGACATTCATATATTATCTTGTTGTCTAAGTGCCCATACAAGAATAGTTAACTAGTAGTCTCAATTTGTTGAATCCCTCATAAAGAAGATTCTCAATTCATTCCTTCAGTCAACGATTAATAACAAAGAGGTTAAGCATTCTTAATATTTAAAATTTTAACCCATCATGATAACAATCTGATTTTCAAATAACAAGAATCGATCCTACAGTTTCACTGTACTTTATCAGCTTTTTTGATCAGGTGGTCTGGCTCATAATTTCCCATCTCTTCAGACTTGATTCAAGGACAGAAACCATACCTTTGGGAGTATCAGCGATCTGCCTCACAGGAGAAGGTTCATCATCTCTGTATACGGAGCCATCAAGGACCGATACAGGGCTTGGATGTTCTTGGGAATTTATTGCAATATCAGCAGCTGACTCATCTTCATCCAACCTTGGAATTGATTTCTGAAAATAAAAAATGAAAAATATACATGTTCTGATAATTGGAAGATTTAGTAGTAAATTACTATTTGTCACCATAATTTCAATCATAAAGCTTGAATAAAAAGAATGATGAAGTTACCTCCTGCATTGATCCTGAAATTGACTGCGTCGTAGTTTTCATGGAAGGGCTCTGGCTACCATTATTTTGAGAAGATTGTATACTACTGCTGATTTCCATATCCATATTCAAGGGTGACGCAGTGATACTGTCAGATTCCACAAACACTTCATCCTTTTGGCAACTTGATGTTCTTGTTTCATTTCTTATCAGACCCAGTGGGTTGTCACTATGCTGTAAGTAAGGGGATTTCGGTCTCAGTTTTCCACCTGGAGAGCCTGAATCTCTTGCATGTTTACTGTATTTCCTTCTCGCTTTATTAGGATCTGATGGTGGAGTTTGGGGACAAGATCGCCTCTCAACCTCTTGCTTCTTCTGTTGCATTCTTGGGCTCAGAGATCCTGAGTTAATTGAACTTGAGCTATTTTCTTTTGAAAATTGTTGAGACGTAGGTTGAGATTGTGTGGGTTTTAGGGTCTTGCTACAACCAGCCTTCCCATCATAGGAGCTGGCAGTAGTATCCCTGCGACTGTTTTTAGAAGAGTGACCTTTAGATGTTCGACTGGAAGGTGAAATTCTTTTCTTATCTTCATTTGCAACACTGTCAACTTTATGGAAACCAGAAAGTCCACCAACAGGAATTACTGAGGAAGTAGAAATTCCAGTTTTCTCAATAAGCCTTGCTGGTTTCATGACCACAATTGGAGATTCACAAGCCCTTGCAGAGTCTGCTACCCTCCTTGAGGGAGACAGAAAATTATTGCCATGGGGGTTTTGCTGCCTTGCTGATCTAGAGCTCTGAATCAGACTCACAGAATTTGTTCCATTGTCTCTTTGACCTCCAACATCTACAGCTTGTTCTTCTTCTCTGGTCTCTAAAAATCCCTTTGCCTGCATTGCTTCCAGTATCTGTTTGAGAGCTCGGAGGTCTCTTCCAGACTGTTTGAACTCAAGATCCTTCAATCTCCTCTCAAAATCACTATAAACAGAAGGAAATGAATCTGGTGTTCTTGCTGGAGCTTTCAGGGCCTTCATGCTTGATTTCTGCAAGCTCCGATTTCCATCCTGCTGCTTCCAAGGTGCTGGTTCAATTGGCAATCTCGAACTTGAAATGGGTTTCATAACCAAATCAGGGTTCTTCCGTCGTGGTGAAGTTGGGTCTTTCAATGAGCTTTTCGGGGAATTAAGAACTTTGAGTGGCTTGATCAGTCCAGTTTTTGATAATTTTGGAGACTGTGTATCATGCTGACCTGAGAGATCACCACTCAAACTGAACGGAGTATCAACAACCAAATGGGAATCAGGCAATGCTTCCAAGCCCATCAATTTTGCTACAACACTAGGAGGCCGCCTCTGGGTTGCTGCAGACTGTGGTAAACTACACATTTTGTCATCTGATGCAGATTTGCCACTGCCAAGGCCCCTTGATAGGTGATTGGGCTTTGAATCAGAGCTATAAGTGCACCATGAACCTTCCCTACTGTCCAGTGAGAGTCTAGGAAGCTCTTTTAGCTTTGCTGGTCCTTTGATTGTATCCCTTGATTCAAAAGATAAACGACCTATTTCTCTTCCATCATAAGAAAACCGAGGAGCATCCTTTGAGATCAAATGCCAGTCTCCGTCTTTCACTTCACTTGATGATCTTGGAATTTCTCTAGCTTCACCATAATTCCATGGTGCTTCTCTAAGTTTAGCAAGAACTCTGAGAGATTCTTTTACATCAGCACGCACACTTTGCTTTCCATCAATTCCAACTCCACAAGATCCATCAACAGATCTGGAAAGCTGAAGTGGTCTTGGTGAGTCCCTGTGCTTCATAGCATTGAAGACAGCTTCTTCTTCCGCTATAGCCTTCTTGACTGATAGTCCTCTGGCCTCCCTATACATAGAATCCTTCACCACATCCCTCAGGTCAAGGGACTGCAGTCCTAAATGGGGAGAGGCAGCTGTTTGGTTCATAATCGGTTCCCTTGAAGGAGTTTCAGGGTAAATAATGCGATCAAAGGAAGCCTCCACTTGAGCTCTGCAATCCAGCGAGGACAAGGATGATGAACATGACGATGAGAAAGAGGCCCTTGATGACTCTGTGGATATCCTTTGTTTCTCACCAATTCCCTTGTTTGAGCTCACATCCTGCAATAAATTCTACAAGTTGTTAGGTTCAGTTCAGAGTTAATTCTCGCGTCTTTTTTCCAGATAGTAAGAAGCATGCTGAAAACGAGATGAAAGATGCTTCCAGAACAAGAAAGTCTCTGGATTTTGAATTTATTCAAAAAGATAAACAGAATGTGGATTCCTGTGCATAGGCAGTTAATGAATGAATACTCTAAGATGATCGATCTGAAGAAGATATTGTTTTTTCAATGTTCTCATACATTTACATCTATTCCAAATAGATAGTAGTCAAATTGATTCATGAGCCGGTAATAAATCACTGGTTTAGCATATGCAAATAATTTAAAAAATGTCCACGCCTCAATTAAGAGACACGTCCAATTTTTTTCAATTATTTATAATAAAATCTGTAACAATCCACACTATTCACAAGTTACTTATTCCTCAAACTGTATACAATGCACAGGAAAATGTATCTAGTTGAACTGTAAAACAATAGCCAATCTATCAAAGATGAGGGAGGAAAATACATACAGATGCTGTTTGGCGCTGGCTTGCTTTACTAGAATCATTTTCCAGGATGCCATCACCAAAGTCAGAGTTTCCACCTATTATTAAAGAAGCGTTAGTTGTGAATACAGTCATACACTTGTCGAAAGCATAAGAGCAAGAACCAATCCAATGGTGCACATAAGGGTGGAAAAACACGCTATAAGCTGATCAATTCACGGAGAAGGTCACATCCTCTCCACACCAAAGTCTCAAGATTAACTTCAAAAATTATCATTGCAGAATAATCTTTCATAATGTACCTACATGTTGCCCTCTCCTTGAAAGCAAAGAAAATTTCAGAGACTTCAAGGAAAAACCAAGTTAGGAAGACAAAGGAAAGAGATCGAAGATCTAGAAACCTAAGCCCGTAAAAAAATTGTTGTTTACAACGAATTTGGAAATGCAACCAAAATTCTATCAGAGGTTAACCTGAATGTCCCAAATCAACTATTAATCAACATCCAAAAAAAGGGCCGATTAATCAGTGCCACGAGCAAGTTAACACAGCTATAATGATAATCATACCGGTCAGGGACTGATAAAGGATAAATAAATAAATATATAAAATAAACAGTTAAATTAAGTAGGGCATACTCGGACAATTAGCAGGAGGAAGCCTCTTCTGGTTAATTCGTCGGGCAGTAAGAATGTGATGCCGATCAAAAAGCTGGAAAATCCCGGTCATGCATCCTATCTGCTTCTGTAAATCAGGGCTGTCATCGGCTAAAGAATGCAGGAGCTTTGCGGCCATATCTAACTCTTCTTAAATATACTCAACCCCTTTTTCTCAACTACCAAAAGATTTACTCCCACTTCGTAAGGGATTGATTTATCATTTACTGTCAAGTCTACCCATACAACGCAGCAAGACCCTTCCGACATAGGATTCTGGCTCCATTAACACATAACCGAACAAGTAATTTTGAACAGCTCATTGGAGATCACCGCCATCCAGAAATAAAATCCAGCGTTCTTAAAGGTGAATAAATGAACCTCCCTTCCTCTTCCTTCGCCCTCAAATCTTAAGTCGAGGCCACGACTCAGTTTCTGAACCTTGAAAAACCAGAAGAAAACGGAGTTGATTCCTCATTTCTGAACACCGTGAAAACAAAACCAAAGGGGAAAACAAATCAAACAAACAGTGTATTTGCCAAGCTAGCAGTAATTTTCCGACGACAACTGAACATTCCCCTTTTCAGCACTCCCAAAAAAATTTACCCAATCTCAGTAATTACAATAATGTATCACCGAAAGCTAAATCAATTCCCATCACTGTTTGAGCTTCGAAGGAAACATTAATGGGTTTCGCAAAACAAACCAGACAATACCTTAAATGACAATAACCATAAAGCAAGGCACCAGAAAAAAGGGAGGGGACCCAGTACCTCATAGAGAAACATGAAGAAGGAGAGGGCCAACAACCAAAAAAAAAAAAAAAACAGAGAGAAACGAAACCGAAGTTAATAGTACCGATGCAGCGAAGGTAAGCGAATGTCTGCAGATCCAAGAAGAATTGTCTGGGAGTTCTGGCTCGAGAACAATTGGAAGGAAGAATTATAATTAAAATCAAAATGTGTAGCCAATCTGGGGAGAGCTGGCTTGTCTATAATAATAATAATTTTAAAAATTTTGTTTTTTGGGGAAGAAGAGAAGGAGGAAGGGGGTGAGAAATATGGGTGTGGGTACTCTGTATCGCGAATCCATGTGGGATGAGTATTTGTGGGTCTGGATGTGTCTGCATCTGCATATGATCTTGTCAGAAGAGAGAGACAGAGGATGTGAAGCGCGAGCGTAAGTGGATTTAAAGACCAAATTCAGTTTTTAGGAAGTCCTAATTTATGCAAAAATTACATTTGTTGGCGTTAATATAATTCGTAGAAATCTAATCTTGCATTTAAAATTTCATTTCTTTAATTAATTTTAAATTAAAATTTTTGAATTTTTTTCTAATGCACATCTTATTTTGATTGCTGTGATAAAAAATGATTTCTCATTTTCTGTCCATTAAATAAGAAAATATCAAGAGGTATTTTTATATAAAAATATTACAAAATTACATTTATGAAAAATTACATTTGTTGGCATTAATATAACTCATAGAAGTCTATTATTGTTTGGAAATATTTAAAATTTTTATTTTTTTAATTTACATCTTATTTTGATTGTTGGATTAAAAAAATGATTTCGCATTTTCTTTTTATTAAATAAGAAAATAACAAAATGAAAAAAATATTTATGAAAAAGTTTACGTTAATTTTTTTGAAATTATTCAATTGAATAATTAATTAATTGATTGATTTCTTGAAAGGAAATTCAAGTTAAAATCATTATTACCCACACATTGTGTGTGTGCGTATTAGATAAAAAAAATAGTTCATATTTTCTTTGCCACCGAAAAAGAATTCATTCTGCAGCCCACAGGATTGTTGTTCATAGAAATTTAATGCGAACACCCCCCCTACGAATTGACTTTGATCAATGTCATTATTTATTCATTTTATTGAATGGTGAATATTAATACACTATTATTATTATTATTATTAAGATGCGTGCAACTGTTCTAAAATACTCCATGTGGGCCATATTTATAAGAGGAAGATGGAAGAATTTTTTTTTTATTTATGTCACGTGAATTATTTTTCATTATATGTTTCTCGTTTTATCATATATCATATATTAAATGTAAATTTAGATTCAATAAGTATTTTAAATTCATTCACTGAATATATGTCTCACATGATACTATAAAAAATTTTATCATATAATATTTAAAAAAATATCAAATCTTACATTTTTAGAGAAGATAAACGAGTGGGGATGTTTTGATTGTGAGGATTATTTAAATTTTTTTAAGAAAAATTTATCTTAATAATTTTCAAATATTATTGAAAGGTAATGGCTATAATTAAGACATTCATTAAGTAAGCAGAAATAGATCACTCAACAAATCCAAATCTATTATAAGATATTTTTTAAAAACTTATTTTGCTCAAAAATATAAGAAGTGTCATGATAATTTTGAGTAATTGAACAATTGTGCTCTTATTATCTTGAAAAGGAGAATAGATATTAATTATATGTTTTACACAGTCACTATGATATTAACTATGACATTATTAAGGGCCAAATGAAAAAATTGTTACAATTTTTTATACCTTCAACTAAATGACAAACTTTTATTGATGTACAAGATTTAGTTAAAAACATATTATATATAGTGACAGATGGGGTATATATTTAATAGAAATAAAGTTAAAAATTTGTTAAATTTTTTTTCTAGAGTTAATGAATTTAATATTTTCCTTAATTTTAATAAAATATATTGTAAATGATCTATAAATAGAACCAGAGGAGTATCATAGAAGCTTCTTGTGGTTATGTTAGATTTTAGAATAATTTTAAAATTTATTTATTTTATTTAAGACACATGAAGTTCTATTAGAATTTGAAAATAAAAATGCATTAAAAATACTTTATTCGTTTAAAAATACAAGACATTTTTTTGAGAGAAAATGTTAAAAAATACAAGCATTTTTGGTCTTCTAATGTATAATTAAAACATCATATTAAATAGGAGTAAATATAAAAATTATGTATAATTTTAAAAATAATTAATTAACTTATTAAATGTAATTTGATTAAAAATATTATGGATATTAAACATAGGAAGTATAATTTTTTTATTGCTATGAAAGAAGGCACAAGATCCTTCAGAAACTAGTTAGTTAGCCCCACACACTTCTAAAGAGCTTGGCATAGGATGTAGTATTTTTCATAATATGTGAACAGTGCAACTTTTTATTATTTTTAAGAGAGTAAGGTGTAAAAATACTCATCAAATGATCTGCCAAGAGCATTCAGTTGCCTAAACAGAGGAAAGGATAAAAATACCTATAAAGTTATCAGAATTGGTGCAAAGTAATCAAACCATTAACTTTATTATAGCGTCGTTAGTTTTTAGTGTTTAAATGTTGACTATATTTACTATGTATCAATCTTTGTTGATGTGAACTACAAAAGAGGTAAAAATACCCATGAAGTTATCGACTAAGAGCTTTTAGTAGCCTAAAATGAGAAAAAAGGCAAAAAAACTCACAACGTTACTAAAGTTGGTGCAAAAATAGCTAATCCATCAAATCTTTTAAATATTGACTGTTTAGCTGACCCCTTGAAGTTGAGTATTTTTTCACTGATATAAACAAAAGATATTCTCAAGTGAAATTTTATGAAGGTTAATCAGTTATCATATAAATATCATGGAAAAAAATGTTATTTTGACCAAACATTAAGTTAAATCGCTCACTTTTTCGCAGCAATGATAAAAACCGTTTGAAAATTTTGAATTTATCATAAATGAAATTGTTTAATGTTGTGACAATGTTCTTAAGGTAGGCAACATAAGAGGTGTGCTTAGTCTCGATCTTTGATTGTGTATAATATATCTCATTATGTTAAATCTTAATCTTTGTAGACAAGAAAAATAAGTGAAGAGGGAGGGAGGGAGGGAGATGGTGAGACATGTTAACAAGAAAAATGATATTTGGTAGGATACATCATCGATCAACCTGCATAAAAATTAACCTGAATATATTTTTTGTATACATTAGTAAAAATGGTCAACTTTTACTTAAGTGTCAGTTAAACGGACAACGCGTAAGAAATTTGATGGATTGGTCATTTTTATACTAACTTCAGTAACGTTGTGAGTAATTTTATCATTTTTCTCACTTTAAACTACTAGATATTTATGGTCAACGACTTTGTGGTATTTTTATCTCTTTTTTAGTTCATATCAGCAAAGACTGACATGTAACAAGTACAATAAATATTTAACAATGGAAACTAATAATGTTAGGGCAAAGTTAATATTATAGAAATTTTTATCCTTTTTTTTTTTACTTTAAGCTACTAGAAGCTCTTAGCCAACCATTTGGTACATATTTTGACACTTTAACCTCTTTTAATATTATAATTAATACAAAAACAATAGAAAATAAAGGTAAATTAGGGACATCGATGCGGTGTTAACTTATAAGAGAAAATGAAAAAAAGAGAACGATGGAAAAAAAAATAGGGAGAAAAAAGAAAAATTGTATATTTGGCAGGCATAGAGAAAATATAAGAGGGAGAAGTTAGTAATTTTACATGAATAATAATAACCCTATTATTTAAAAATGGATATAATAAAATTTAAAATTTTAACATATTATTTATATAATTTTCCTTATATAATATTAAATTAAAGGAATAAAAATATAATCACAAATTATATTATCTAATTTTAAATTTTATAAAGAAAATGGAATCGTAAGAGGTGAGAAATGAAAAATATCCATGGATAAATGTAGTAGAGTTTTCTCTTAAAAAAATTATTTCTGGATGGAAAAGTTGAAGAAAAAATAGAGTTAAGAGTTATTTTTATCTTTAAATTGTACACACAAATTCATAAATGACATTAAACTAAACTTGGGCTCAATTTCATCCTTCAACGTCAAAATTTTGCTTCCTCCATGCCTTTGGCATTAATTGTCCGTCAGTGGGTTCACATGAATTATTTAAATATTTTTAATAATAAAATATAATAATAAAAAAATATAATAGTGGGACTCACTTAATATTTTTTAGGTTAAGGATCTAAAATACTCTTTAATTAAGCAAAAATTATTAAAGTCACCCTTAAAGTCAAAAAAAGGTCATTTATATCCCTCAACGTTAAAATTCTTTATTCCATCACCTTACCATCTATTTTGTCAATTTTTGCCATTAGTGGGCCTGCATTTGAATTTTTAAATATTTTTAATAGGTCCCATCATTTTTAATTTTTTTATATTTTTAAAATAATACCCCTCTCTCCTCCCTCTCTCCTCTCCCTCCCCCTTTCTTTCTCTTTCTCGTTTGCTTGTGCTTGAATTGAAGCAAGTAGAGTAGCAGTAGTAGAACTCCCAGCATATCAATTGCAGTTTTGTTATCATTGTGAATGGTCAGGCTGAAAAGTGCATAAGAAGCATGTTCTTATAATGGTTGACAGAGTTCTAGCACCATTTAGCAATGGTAAATTTAAGGATAAGGTTAGAAATTATGATAAAAAAATTAGGCTTGGAGTCATTAAAGTGTGGCTTGAGGAGACCTACTAAAATATAAAAAAATGATGACATCCATTAAAAATATTAAAAAAATAAATGTGAGTCTTATTAACGATGAAATTTGACAAAATAAACGACAAGGTGATGGAGTCAAAAATTGTAGGAGTTGAATGATATAAATGACTCTTTCTTCACTTTAGGAGCAGCCCTAGTTTTTTTTCGCTTAGTTGGAGAGCATTTTAGACCCTTAACCCTATACAAAAAATGGTAGGATCCACCAAAAATATTAAAAAATTTAAATGTGAGCCCACTAATGGTGAAATTTGACAGAATGATGATAGGGTGATAGAATTGAAAATCTTAGTAGTTGAGGGATATAAATAACTCTTTCTTGACTTTAAGGGCAATTCTGACCTTTGTGCTTAATTAAGTGACATTTTAGACCCTTAACCCAAAAAAATATATAATTCCCACATGTTCTTTTCCTTTCAATTTTTCCTCCCTCTTAATTTTTTTCTTAAGTAGAGGATATCAAATTTTCTATCCACTTTTCTCTTCCCCCATTTTTCTATTGCCAAGTATGTAATGCGGTTTGTCACTCAACCCTCAAAATAAAACTAAATTAACCTTAATTAATATAAGACCAATCTAAGTCATCTCTCAACGAAT